CGGTTTAACATCTACCTAGGACAAGCTAAACACAAGAAACCTTTGTAAGTGAATATGAGAATGCAGACTTCAAGTAAGATGGTAGGAGATAGAAAGAGAAAATTTATATTAAGAACTTTGAAAATGTGATGGTGATTAGAAAGTGGGAAACCTACATAAGTCTTCCCACACAGCTAAGAGTTTATAATTGTTCATACTTCATCATTATCACACTTGGATATTACTTTGGCATGAGGAAAATGACATCTCTCCTTTACAAATATATTCAACTGACAAATAACGATTGAATACATTTACAGGAAAATGTGATTTTTTGATACCTGTGTATACAATTGGATACTAAATACCTCTAATACTTAATTTTTATGGAATAAATATGTAAACTCTATTCTTTGAGAAAGCTTGAAATTAAACAATTAATGAAGTAGCTAGTAGTCTCTCAAGAATAGTTGAAGTTATGGCTAGAATTAAATCCAGAATCCTGATGTAGAGGTATTTTCAGGGCAAGATAACAATGGAGTGTACTTATGGAAGAAAGGGTGTAAAACTACTGTAGTTTTCCCAATACTTAGGATTAGGGCCTGCTTTGATAGTTTCTATGTTCTCAGACTGTGCCTCTCTTCATCATCTCAGGGATCAAGAAACTCAGTCACATTTTAAGAAGGTCCTATTTTAATGAGGAAGTGTGCAATTTCTTTCTCTAAAGTCATGCAGTGCAAGGACCCAGTTGGTTTTGGAGTTCTATGATGGTAATTGTTTTCACTAATGCAAAACACTGCAGTAAGAGAGGTTAGTTGCAACTTGGACTGATAGTAATTGTTGCAATAAGATGAGCTGGTAGGAGGTGAAGGACTCCTGGGTAATGAACTTCATGGATGCCAGTTCCCTTCCCAAAGGAACACCTTAGCAACCTCAAGAGGTCTGCTCTGAAGGCCCAGAGACCTCTGCCCAATCAAGAATATAGATCATGAAAGGGGAATGTTTTATAGTTTGATTTACTTCCACAGGTTTTCTCAAAGTGACAAAGCTCAACTCATGTATCACCTACAAGTGGCTGCTACACATTATTCTGCAAAGAAATGAAATATGAAGTGACTGGGGAGTTCTCTTCCAGCTCTAGACTCAGCAGTGGCCCCAGGGTCAAGCCCTAAAGGAGCCTTACTATCAAACTGTGGGTAAGAATGTGTCAGAAAGACATATTAATCATGTTTCTTTTAAGGCTGGTCATTAGGAAAAGACCATGAACATTCAGAAATACCAAGTGTCCTGAATAATTAGGGTTCATGGAATGTTCATATTGTATACTTCTGAAAAAGTAGCTATTTATGCTGTTACATACACATCCTTTCTTGAGATAGGTTCTCACACTACAGTCCTGAATGTACTAGGATTATAAGTGTGAGCCACCATGCTAGGCATATATTGTCTTTTGTAAATGTTACTGTAAAGAGCCTAGTCTCAGAATTAGCAATTTGGATATGCTTTTAAACAAGCATGTGATTTTTGCCAAGGCATCTTTCCTTTCTTGACTCCCATTTCCTCTTTTGTAAAATGGAGAAACTGAAGGGGTTGATCTCGTAAGTTGAAACTATTTGGACTTATGTTTCAGTAGATACAGGCCAGGGTGGAGTAGAGAATAAAATGCAAGTCACTAATTCTAAAAGCTTCATGGAATATAAGAGGTAAGATATGGCCTAAGATAAGTGATAATTTGTAAATATGCTAGGTTTTCTAATAGCCCTCACTCTAGCCCTGACACCAAAGGAGGAGATGACCCTCATAAAAGACCCAGACAATCATCTTGATTGATGTCATATTTTTTATCAGCCATCACATCTGTGCCACATCAGACTCTGAACCAAGAATTCTAGGTGGTAACTAAAGTATGGAATCTATTAATTTCAAAAAGCTTACAGAGGACTAAAGAGACAGCTTAGTAGTTAAAAAACCTTGCTGCTTTTCCAGGGGACTTCAGTTAGCTTCCCAGCACCCACATTAGGTGACTCGCTATTGTCTGTTCTCCTGCCTCTTAGGATCTGATACCTCTGACCTCTACGGACACTTGCACTCATGTGCTTATACCTATATTCAGAGACACACACCTCTATATAACCAAAAGTAATACAAATAAACATTTTATTTATTTATTTATTTTCAAATAAACATTTTTAAAAAGCTCACAGAGAGCGGCTTCTGTATGGTAAAATCTAATGTTAAGATTTTGCCTGAAATTATTACCTTGTATATAATAAAAGGACAGTGAGGAAGTATTACTGGACCTCTCTCTGTCTCTGTAATTCTCTCATCTCTCTGTCTTTGCCTGTCTTTTTCTCTGTCTCTGTCTCTCTCTGTCTGTCTCTGTCTCTGTCTCTGTCTCTGTCTCTCTCTCTCTCTCTCTCTCTCTCTCTCTCTCTCTGTG